TTTTTTTTTTTTCTTCTTTAGTGATGATGGCCAAGGAGAAACCGCCAATAACTGTGGTTGGAGATGTTGGAGGAAGAATTGCCATCATTGTGGTATGAGTGTGATGGAGAAGGGAGGGTTGGGTGGTGGCTTCCTCCCAGCATCTTTTCCTGAGCTGCTTTATCCCAGAGGGTTGGAGTCGCTGCTGGGGTGGGAACATGATTGTTGCCACTGTTTTCTTCAGTTCTGCTGGTGACCTTGGTTATTTCAGCTATCTGTTGAAAACCCTTTGTATTCAGCACTTTAAGCCCTGAAATCTCCTTGCTCCCTTGAATCGACAAATATGAGGTATCTACAAATACCCAACAAATCCAGGACATGCAGAGAAATCTCCTCAAAAAAAAAAAAAAAACCAAAACAACCCCAACCACCCAAACAAAACAAACTTGTGGAGCTTCTCATACTTGCTGTGCCATGCTGCAGTCTAAGGGGTCAACATGCAGCTACTATCACCATGAAAAAAAAATAATAAATACTATGTGGGAGATAAACTCTGTCTGTCTGTGTGCACATGCGGGGACTGATTTGTTTCCAAGACACAACATTTGTTTTACACACTAGCAAAAAGGCCCATAAATTAGAGAAATGGTGTTCACAGATTGAAGTTGTGCGTGTGGCTGGTTTTGCATCTCAACAGCAGCTGAAGTAGCCAGGGATTATTTTTTTTTTTTTTGGCTGTGTGCATGGCCAGAGCTGCAGTACTTTGCAGATCCACTCCTGCCCTGCAGGCACAGTAAACCTCTGGTTGTGATGCTATTTCTGTTTCTTCTTAGGATGACATCATCGATGACGTGGAAAGCTTCGTAGCTGCGGCAGAGATCCTGAAAGAGCGTGGAGCCTACAAGATTTTTGTGATGGCTACTCACGGGCTCCTGTCAGCAGATGCCCCCCGTCTCATAGAGGAATCTTCCATCGATGAGGTACATTCTGGACTGTGGAAGAAGGGCTGGCTTTGGCCAGGTTGATTTTAAGGACTAAACCCCACAAACTGATGTTCTTCCCCTGCCACATAACTCATCTCTGAAATGACTGCTTTCATCAGATGCTTTCAATTAGCTGGTTCTTCATTTAGGGAAGGGTAAAAAAAAAAAGTGTGTGTGATTAACACTTGTTCAGATCAGAGCTGCTTCTCTGTGTATGTTTTCTCCCTAATGCACAGATATTAGTCATTCCTGCCTGGTCACTTCCCTCACTGCAGCTGGGTGCATGTGACAGTGTTCTTGCTGTACAGGCCTTCTCCCTGTCCCTTTCCACAGCTGACAATGGGCTGTTGGGTACATTAAGATAAAATTTCAAACCTCACCCTTAGTAACAAATGAGTCGGATCCTGCGATCTCAATGGACCCGTCAGCCTGTGTGGGGGTGGCTGTTGTAGAGTTATGCTGATCCCCTCAACAGATTGACTGTCATGTAGGGAAAACCATTTATTTTAATCTTTTTTTCCTAACACACAAGGATTTCTTCCCCTGAGCTGTGAAACTCCACTCGGCACAAGGATTTCTTCCCCTGAGCTGTGAAACAGCAGGTACACACCGCTCGGAGTTATTCTAGGGTAGCTGTTGAGTGAGAGAGAGCTTATCAGCGGCACAACTAATGATCTTTTCTTTCTGGCACTCCGTAGGTGGTAGTAACCAACACAGTTCCTCACGAGGTACAGAAGCTGCAGTGCCCCAAGATAAAGACTGTGGATATCAGTTTGATTCTTTCTGAAGCCATCCGACGAATCCACAACGGCGAGTCCATGGCCTATCTCTTCCGCAACATCACCGTCGATGACTAGACCTGGCTTCCACGAGAGAAGGAAACATGCATGAAAAGGCAATACCATAATTTATAGGCATAACACAACTGTTTATTCTTGTAGAAGCGTGAAGGTTTTCAGAGTCTTGAGCCATGAGATCTAATGGGGAAAAAAAAAAATCAACCTGACCAGCACTTTACAGGTGTATAGAAGCAGCCACTGGCATTGGGCAGGATTACATCTTAATTGAGAGAGATGGAGAAATGAGGTGGTGTTGAATTTTTAAGTTCCTTTAATTATTGTTTGTTCTTTTTTTTTTTTTCCTCTAGTGTGTTATCCCTTGCCCTGTAGGGGGGGAAAGAAAAGCTAAAAAAAAAAAAGTAGCTGTCAGCTTATGAGAAGGGAATAGAGAGTGCTCGTTGCTGCGTGTGGGCAGCGAGAGGAGACAGCCCTTGGGGTTTCTGTTTCTGACTGTGACTCGCTCGAGAGCACAGAAGGGAGCGCTTCGTTCCGGCGCCTGAACTGCCTGCTGCTGGCAGAGCAGCTCCTTGCATGTTGAGTGGCCTCTCATCCCTTGCACAGCTTAGCAGGGACATTTCAGCAAAACCAAGTTAGCGGAACATGCAGAAAGGGCAGCTTAGGGCAACCCATTCACAGGGCTACTCGCATCCTGGTGCTGGGAACAAGCTCACGTGCATCTCCCAGCAGGACAAAGGAGTGGTAGTTAATGTGCTGGTCTTTTTCATTTTGCGAGCCTTGGATCATTATTGTTCTTCAGTGGCAAGGAACGTGAGGGTCTAGGTCCTCACTCGAACACTTGTCTGCACTGTAAAACCAGGCGCAGTTTCTGGAGGTGCCTGGGGCTGCTGAGTTGCGGCGGTCTCCTGGGGAAGGGGAGTTGGAACAATCTCTGCCTCGAATGCAGCTGTGCTCTCCAAAACACTAACACTGAACCTGCAATAAAAAGCATAGGATTTTTCATTTTTTGGTGCTTTCTGTGAACCCTGTGCCCTCTGAACAGCTGCTGTGTGTGTGCCGTGGGGCTGTTGCTGTCACTGTGCTCACTTGGCAGCTCACAGCCGCCTTCCACGGGGAAGTAGGACTCGCTGCTTGCTCCTTTTTTTATTTGAATGACACTAATCCTTGGCTGGAGGGGATACTTGAGAAAGCAGCACAAGGTGGTTGTGAAGGGGCTGTGTCTCCAGGATGATAGAAGAATAAATTCCCAAACTGTGATCTCAACCCCTTCCCTTGATGAGGCAGGCAAACGCACTCCAGTAAAACCCGTACCGCTCTCTAACCTGCTGATGGGATGAACAAATCCTGCTGGAGGCAGTTGCTTCAGAAGAGCACTGCTGGTGATGGGCTGTCTCTAGCAGGCAGCTGTTGGGTTTTTGCTTATCCTTCAACTTCTCCCTACATCCTTCTCTTCCACTCCAGCATCTAAAAATGTGAATGGTGCCAAGGGGCAGGCAGGGACACACTATCAGCAGGACAAGCTTTGAACACTGGGCAAACGAACGCGCGGGGGAGTTTGTCTTGCAGAACAACGTCCTGTCTTGTAGCCAGTGAGGGCACATGAAAACCCAGAGTGGTTTGGTGTTCTCCGGTATCCAGCACAGATTAACCCTCCAAGCCAGATCCCACAAGGGGTGCTGGATGAGGTCTTAAGGCTCTTGATGGTTTTCCACCCCTAGAAGTGTTCTTTCCAACCCCTAGAGGTGTTCAAGGCCAGGCTGGATGGGGCTTCGAGCAACCTGGGCTGGGGAGGTGGGGTGCAACTAGATGATCTTTAAGGTCCTTTCCAACTCTAACCATTCTGTGTTTTTTCCTGCATTTCCAAAGTACTATGAGCAAACCACAGCTGTACTCTCTGTACTCTGTGACCACGGTGTGGCTCCTTGGCCAGTGCTGTCACATGGTGCTGTGCTATAAGTATTACTGAAGGGATTGACTAAAGGATGTGAAGTCCCTGCAGATGCCTGTGTGGCACCGAGTTCTGAGCCAGTACCACACCATGCTCTTCATACTGGAAGTGTTAAAAATAATGTGAGTAGTATTGCTCTTCTCTCCCCTTCAAACTCCTTGTCAGACCTGCCAGCAGTGAGGTCAGGGCTGCTTGAGTGCTGTTGCCCTGTTCAGGCTTGTTTTTCCTGGGCTGTATTTGGGTAGAGACTGTGGAACTGCAGCACCAGTGAGGAGAGGGTTGTGCTGGTGTCTCCTGGGTCACACTTGGGACCACAGCCCCAGTTATCCTCTGGCCTCGCTTCAGACCTTACCTGACTGTCAGCTAAAAGCAGCTTGGGTTAAACTGAAGCCAGGAGATGTTCCTTATCTGCTTATGTGTTCCTTATCTCCTCTATAAGGAGACATCCTTAACTGCTTTAGGAAAACTGGTACCCTGTATTCAGTGGCCCCCAGAGGTCACCGGGAGGTGGTGGGCTGAGGCTGGTGCACACTAGGATGTGGCATCTGCCCAACTTGACCGGGTTGGGACCTAGGCTGCCATCGTGTCATCAAACCTGCTGTCTCATTTTGCCTTCTGCCCTGAGGTCCACCCCTTGCTGTTGCTGTACCTCTGTCAGCTCTGTGGCCCTGTATCATTTTAGGGTTCTTGGAGCTTTTCCTGCTGGCCCTGGGTGCTGCCTGGAAAGCTGGAGCAGTCCCTGGGTGTAGCTTGAGAGCTCCTGAGTTTGCAGCTCTACCAGTTACTGGAGTTAAGGCTTGGGATCCCTTTTATGAGGGTGAGCTCCTTGCCTCAGTGCATCCAGTTCCCATCTCTTAATCTCTCTGCTCCCTCTTTGAACTCGATCCTCCCAGCTTGGAAAAGAAAAATACTGCACAGCAGCTCTATGTGCTTTTGTTTTAATGCCTGAAATCTCTTGTATCTTTTGGGATCTCTTGTGTCTTTTAAAAATGCAAGGTGTCTGTTCTCCTCCTGCTTGCCTGCTCTCATCCTGCCTTGGGAATTGTCTTCGGGTGCCTCTCCGAAGGGGGGAGATGTCAGTGCTCCCCGACGGTGGGATGCTGGGGCTTGGAGGGGTTTCAGGGACAAGAAGTTTGTGTTGATTCTTTTTGTAAATACTCGCCTGACGGATCACTCGGGTTCAAAGATTTTTCTCAGTGTTTCAACGCTTCCAAGGGTTGTCTGGAAGCATGTGTTTACCTGCATTTCTTTTTTTTCCCCTGCTTATTTGGCTCTTTGCTTCGGAGCAAGGCGCTAGAAAGCCGTGTTGATGCTCTCAGCAGCAGCCTTCCTCCATTCCCGCGTCTAAGGGAGAGGGCAAAATCTGTCATGCTTTTCAATACCTCAAAAAAAAAAAAATAAATTGAGGTGCTTCCTTGGGACTGGTCTCCTCCTGGATGGTTTCAGGCTGGGCTGTGCTGTGTGACTGTGGTATTGTCCCTCCCCAGGGCTCAGCCCTCCTTCCCAGGGACACTCTCCCTGGGCACGGGCTGCTGCAGAGTCCCAGCCTGCGCCAGCTGCATTTTTGGGTGTTAATGTGGAAAAGACAGCAGGGAACCTCGGCGTCTCCCATCCCTGTGGGTAACTTCAGCCCAAGGACCACTAGGGACCAGGGGTGGGGTGTCACCTGGCAATGGGAGATGCTGTGTTGTCCCCTGTCACCCCTCCCACTGCTGGTTTGATCCCTCTGTTGCGAGGAGGAAGGAGGCTGTGGATTGTCAATCCCTCCCACCCATCCTGCTCCCTCCCAGGCAGGAGACTCCTGTCCCCCTTGGGTCCCTCCATGGGTTCAGGCAGGACAGCAACAATGTCCCAGCTGCTGGATGTCACCATCAGGATGACTGAGGTCAAGGCCATCAACTTCATGGCACTGAACAGCCTGCTGTGGGCCATGCTCAGCCACCTGGGCCTGCAGGACCCACCTGCAGAAGGGGGGGGACACAACTCAACCCCCCTGCCTTCCTGGGGGGCAACCAGGCTGCCAAGGCACCCCCTGTCCTGGAGAAGGAGGAGGACATGGCCCAGGGCAGCAGCCCCAGGAGCTGGGGGAGCAGCTTCCTGGGAAGGACCTGCTGCAGGAGACCAGGAGTGGCCCTCAGCTTGCCACCACCACCACGGGGATGCAACTGGGGTCCTCTGGCATCAAGACCACCACCCTGGGGACACAGCCAGGGTCCCCTGGCACCCAGATCACCACCCCAGGGATGCAGTCAGGATCCCTCAGCCTCCAGTAGTGCCTCCAGCTGCTGCATGGAGACAGTGGAATCTCACTGCCAGATCAGGACAGTAGTGCCTCCAGCTGCTGCATGGAGACAATAGAATCTCTGCCAGATCGGGCAGCTTGGCCACCTGAAGGAGCAGATGGCCCAGCTGGAAGCCACCAACTCGGACCATGCTGAGCTGAGAAGCTGCCCTTGCTCCTCCTCAAGGGAGGTGGGAGCCCTGGGAGGGCTTGCAGGGGGGTGTTTGGGTGTGGGGACACCCAGGACTGGGGGCTTGTCAGACTGGAGACCCTGGACCTGAGGGCAAGACTCCCTCATTGACACCATGTCCCTTCGGACCGTGTCCCTTTAGATGAGGAGAACATCACCCTTGGGGGTTGAGTGTCCTCCCTGCAGGGCCTGGCCCGTGACCTGCAGGTGGAGAAGGGGAAGGTGAGTTGGTGGCAGTCCCTGAGGGGGCTGTGGGGATGCTGTGGGGGCTATTGGGCAGGGAGGGGGCAGCTGAAGGTCCCCTGTGCTGGGGTGAGACAGGGGGCTGTGCCACCACCATCTTTCCCAGGTCAGGCAGCTGGAAAGGCGGGGGCTAAGCCTCCCCGTGCCCCCATCTTGCTGGCCAGGTCCATGCTGGTGGTGATGGAGCTGGAGGAGCTGGGACTGCAGGAGAGGAGCAAGGCCATGTTGATGACAGTTGGTGACCAAGACAGTCGAGATGATCCAGGTGAGGTCCAGGGGGGACGTGCCCACCAGCTCCAAGGGGTGGTCCTGGTGGTGGGGTTCCCAGCCACCTTGGCTGGATGGGGACATCGAGCCTCCACAGCACTTGGGCTTGTTGGCTTCATCCATCCCATCTCAGAGCCGATTCCTTCCCCTAAGGCATCATCCTTCTGAGGGTCTCCTCTCCTGGCTGGGCCCCTCTTGGGGACCACAATGTCCCAACCCTGGGGTGGCTGGCTGAGGATGTGCCCCTGTCCACAGCTGGACCACCACCTGGGGGCTTTCTGGCAGCAGGTGGAGGAGCAGAGCAAGAGGATCTTGGAGCAGCTCCAGGAAGAGGCTGATGGTGGGGCTGGGATTATGGTGGGGGACAGTGGTGGCTCCGGGGACATGGCTCACCCCGGTCCCTCTGGCTATCCCAGCTGGTGCCCACATGGTAGTCTGGCACAGGACCAATTTAGGTGGGGATGCTGATGAAGCAGCTGTGCCTTCTCTGGCCACCAGCAGCTCCCCAACATCAGCAGGGGCACGAGGAGGGGTCACCTGCGGGATGGAGCCCTCAGGAACCAAAATTTTGGGGGTGAAGGCTTTCTGGGGTGAGGGCAGGAGATGGTGGCTCGTCCCCCAGGGCAGGGTGTGACATGCAGCACCGCGGAGCTGGGTTGTCACCTGCCATCCTGGCAAAGTGAGGGGATGTAATTAGCATTGACGAAGTGATCAGGGCAGCTGAGATTGCAGGGGTGGGCACCTGCGCCCATCACCCCATGTCCCTGCCTCCCCGTGGGCAGCTGCTGGGTTTTGGAGCTGGTGGCCATGGGCAGGTAGCCCACCACAGAGCTGTGGGGACCACCATGCTGTCACCACCCCATCATGGCACCTCCAGCCCAAGGTAGGGATGACAAAGGTGGGGATACAGCAGGGGAAACTGAGGCTGGGAGGGTGATGCTGAGCATCTGGGGGGGGTCCGTGCCTCAGTTTCCCCCAGGAGAGCTGGGTGTGGGAGGGTCACCTGGGGGTGCTGAGTTTGGCCCCATGGCTCAGCCAGCCCCTTCTCTCCTTCCCAGCAGAACGTGGTGGATCTGTTGGACAAGGACAACCACATCCACAGGGACCAGCTGGACAAACCACTGCCTGCGCTCGTGGGGAAGGAAGGTACAGCTGGAGTGGGCTTGGGGAGAAGATCCCATGGGTGTGGAGAAGGTACAGGTGGAGTGGGCTTGAGAAGATCCCATGGGTTTGAGGAAGGTACAGCCAGAGTGGGCTTAGGGAGAAGATCCCATGGGTGTGGAGAAGGTACAGCTGGAGTGGGCTTGAGGAGAAGATCCCATGGGTGTCACAGGGACAGCAGGGAGGGCAGTGCACCCACAGGGTGCTGGCTTTTCCCCCATCCATGTCCTCTCCTCTTGGTTCCTCTGGTCTCTCCTGCTGCCCCGAGGCTGCAGGGGGGGCCAACTCCTGTCCCTTGCCCCCAGGGCAGCGGGACCACCAGCCAGGCTCATCCCACAGCCACCTCTGCCAGGCACCGGGGCCCCTGTGGGGCAGACCCAGCACCTCAGCACCTGGGGATGGGCAGCTGGTGTTAAAAAAGTGATATTTTTTTTTTAAATTACTAAATTCATTATTATTATTTAATTCATTATTATTATTTAATTAATAAAAAACCTTCAACCTCTTTTTTTGTTTTTTTTTTTTTTCTTTTTAAAAAAAAAAATATTTCTGTGTTGGTCTTTTTGCAATTTCCTTCATAGCATCTATTTGTGCATTTATAAATTTTAATGTTAATCCACAGTCTTAGGACCTCATTCCTTTCCAAGAAGAGGGCTAGATCTACCTGTGCTTCTAGCTACTTTGTGCTGTTCAGCTGATGCAAAGCATCTATAAAGCCACCTTAATCAGTTAAGCCTGATTTATGGCTGCTTTACTTTGCCAGAGCAATACTAAGAAACCAGAATGAGAACTTGGCCTCTATGCTTCTTGTTTCTCTTTTTTTTT